GTCTCAGCTCCCGCCTCCAGAATGGGAGGAAACAGACGGCGGTCGGAGCATGAGGCCTAGAGCCACCTGGAGATTTCAGTTACGCACAGACTGCAGGAAACCAGGCTCCAGCAACTCCGTGCGGCTACAAGGCAGTCGATTAAAGAATGAAGTCCTAACTCAACCCGTGAGCCCCAGGAGGGGCTCCAACTCCAGCCGCACAATGGGTGGCGCTAACCATAGGGCTGTCTGACACTGTGAACACGAAGGGAAACGCAGGGCAGGTCTACCAACCATGGAGTCGTCCTGAGACGACACACTGTGCGTCCCTTATGCAGAACGGGGCGGACGCTCAGGACCTGCTTTGGACAGACATCCACATTTGCTGTCAGGTGAAGAGGGGACAGAGAGTGACCCTGCTTCTTCCTCTCTGCCCACCAAGGAGAAGTCTCGTCTTCTCCTCCCATCGTCCCCCTCCCCCCTCCACTAGGCATATTTAACAGAGGAGGCCTGGGACTGCGTGTCCACCCAGGGCAGACAAGAAGGGAGACAGGAGGGAAAGGAAAGGAGGAGGAAGTGGGAGAGCCCATGGGAACAGTTTTGAGCATAAAGAGTTGAGAGTGAGGGAAGATGAGTCTCTGAGGGGGTGAGGGTAGCTGGGAAAACAGTAAAGAAGAACGGAGACGGTAAAGGACTATGGAGTGTACCTTGGATGGAGGTGGGTGATGCTCCCTGAAATCTCCAGGAAAGAAACTTGCCACGCCTATCTTCAGGGTGTGGGGCGGGAGTTTGAAAGATGCGGTGGTTTTCACCCTTGTGTTCTTTGTGAAAATGTCCTTTTTATTTTTTATTTATTTATTTTTTTAAAATATATTTTATTGATTTTTTACAGAGACCGCTTTCAAGGTGTGTGCTCCTAGATTTTGAAAATGTCCTTTTTAAAGAAAATATGTTTTCACTGATTTCAAAGAGAGGAAGAGAGAGAGAGAAACATCAATGATGAGAGAGGACCATGGATTGGCTGCCTCCTGCATGCCCCACACTGGGGATCGAGCTTGCAACCTGGGCATGTGCCCTTAACTGGGAATAGAACTGTGGCCTCTTGGTTCATAGGTCGATGCTCAACCACTGAACCACACGGGCCAGGCATAAATATTCTTTCCTAGAAGCGTATACTATTCTTACAACGAGAATTAAGCTAACAGAATGTCATGAATATACTGAAACTCCCCCTGACAGCCTAAAAAAGCCTCAGAAAGAAAATCAAGTTAAATTTGTATTCAACATAATTTAAATCAATTTTAAAACTATGTTCCTTTTTATTTATGTATCTCTTTCCCTTTCTAAATGTATAGCCTGCCTCTGTGATACCAGGGGCCACAGGCACCCTCACCGCAATCTGTAGTCCTGCCTGAACAGGAACACGCTGCCAAGCTCTTGACCACCGACAGGCAAACTGATGTGGAACTCAGTTCGTCCTGTGGTTAAGATCTGACTGAATATAAACTAGAAATAAAATATATGCAATATTTT